GCAGTATTCACACAGACCTGGGATGCCGGCAGTATTCACACTGACCTGGGATGCCAGCAGTATTCACACAGACCCGGGATGCCGGCAGTATTCACACAGACCTGGGATGCCGGCAGTATTCACACAGACCCGGGATGCCGGCAGTATTCACACAGACCCGGGATGCCAGCAGTATTCACAAAGACCCGGGATGCCGGCAGTATTCACACAGAACCGGGATGCCAGCAGCATTCACACAGTCCCGGGATGCCGGCAGTATTCACACAGACCCGGGATGTTGGCAGTATTCACACAGCCCCGGGATGCCAGCAGTATTCACACAGCCCCGGGATGCTGGCAATATTGACACGGCCCCGGGATGCCGGCAGTATTCACAAAGACCCGGGATGCCGGCAGTATTGACACAGACCTGGGATGCCGGCAGTATTCACACAGACCCGGAATGCCGGCAGTATTCAGACACACCTGGGATGCTGGCAGTATTCACACAGACGCGGGATGCTGGCAGTATTCACACTGACCTGGGATGCCGGCAGTATTCACACTGACCTGGGATGCCAGCAGTATTCACAAAGACCCGGGATGCCGGCAGTATTCACACAGACCTGGGATGCCAGCAGTATTCACAAAGACCCGGGATGCCGGCAGTATTCACACAGACCTGGGATGCCAGCGGTATTCACAAAGCCCCGGGATGCCGGCAGTATTCACACAGACCTGGGATGCCAGCAGTATTCACACAGACCCGGGATGCCGGCAGTATTCACACAGACCGTGGTTGCCGGTGGTATCCACACAGACCGTGGTTGCCGGTAGTATTCACACAGACCCGGAATGCTGGCAGTATTCACACAGACCGTGGTTGCCGGCAGTGTTCACACAGACCTGGCAATTGGCAGTATTCACACAGACCGTGGTTGCCGGCAGTGTTCACACAGACCTGGCAATTGGCAGTGTTCACACAGACCTGGGATTTGGCAGTATTCACACAGACCCGGGATGTTGGCAGTATTCACACAGACCTGGGATGCTGGCAATATTCACACAGCCCCGGGATGCCGGCAGTATTCACACAGCCCCGGGATGCCGGCAGTATTCACACAGACCCGGGATGCCGGCAGTATTCACACAGACCCGGGATGCCGGCAGTATTCACACAAACCCGGGATGCCGGCAGTATTCACACAGACCCGGAATGCCGGCAGTATTCACACAGACCCGGGATGCCGGCAGTATTCACACAGACCCGGGATGCCGGCAGTATTCACACAGACCCGGGATGCCGGCAGTATTCACACAAACCCGGGATGCCGGCAGTATTCACACAGACCCGGAATGCCGGCAGTATTCACACAGACCCGGGATGCCGGCAGTATTCACACAGACCCGGGATGCCGGCAGTATTCACACAGACCGTGGTTGCCAGTAGTATACATAGAGACCGTGGTTGCCGGCGCTGTTTCCCCAACTCTACCTGACATCTCCGTACATTTTTAAATGATTAAATACAACGTGTCTGGCCATGTGATGCATTAAAAAACTAGTGTTATTAATATGTATGACTAGATATTGTCTGTATTTGAACTCTACCACGTATACAAACAAACCTATATCACAGACCAATCCACACATCAAGAAATTATACCGACGATGTTATCAAGTATACCAGACAAAGACGTCCCCACCTATCTGACTTTTCACAAAATCTAGATAGGTATAAATAATTCCATTTAATAAACCTCTGTGACGATTCAGAAGTCTTGCTTGAATCTATCAGCTCAGTAACAGTCGTCATTAATTCAGAACTCTTACAGATAAGTCTGTTGCTCTTGCATGGCCTACCCACAAACACAACGTCCTATAAATACCTTTTATTGTGTTCAAGTTTAAGAACTGTCTGTACGTTTTACGCCTCTATTATGTGATAGGTTGATGGATAGTTTTAAGTGGCATTTATGTTGACGGATGCGCAACTAGCATGCACATATACATACAGCACTGTTAGGTATGTAAGCGGCAGTGTCGTATATATATCCAGCATTGTAAAATATGCAACAATGTTATATACCTGTATTATTATATTAACAGTGGTTGTAGCTGTGTTGCATTGTTTCAGTGATTCGGTAGTGTTGGGAAAGTGATCATACGTCAGGAAGTTACTGTACTGCTAGTGTGGCGTGAAAACTTCCGGTCCGGTGTACCCCGGACGATGATAGTATGTTTTTAATGTTCTAATGCCGATGGACTGTAGGGGCACTGTGTGGAACTTTCCAGTGGCTAGGTAGGTTGTTTTAAAGGGGACAATAGCATGTTTACGTATCTCTCACGCATTTCATCGCTTTGGAACCAGTTTTCATGTGAGGATCTCTCATCATCCCTGATTCCCTGCCTCGCCCATCTCGGAAGCATGACCACTGTCGCCGCTGGGTGAATAAAATATTAGCATTACTGACTTCTGCTGTCACCACTACATGTGTGGATTTGACACTGCCATCATTTTATATATTCCAATCGAGTATTGTACAACCGCTCTTTTGTGTACTGCCATTGTAATTGCTGTGCAGTAATTTATTGTTATGTAAACATAGTTTATTTTTGTAATACAGTTGGTTAGTGTATACGACTTGTTGGTTGTTTGTTGGTTTCACACGAGGTTCGTTTATGTACAGATTTCCGGGTTAACATATTGTTTCAATTGAGGAATCAACAGTAACAATACGGCATTGTCGCATGTGCATACAACATTGTCACATATCTATACACGTAGTATCTATGTTGTAGCGTGTGTTGTAATGTGGGTCTTACTAGACTCAGTAGTTCAGCATCTTCCTCAGTCCATACATTAAGATTGTTTGTTCCTTCCTTCTTCGATACTGTTGACCTATTTAGTATTCATTGAACATTTGCGTGCATTCTTTCTACGATATTACTGTACGTTCTACATGATGATCACTGCGCATCCAGTCTCAGATACTGTGGTTCTACGTAGTATTCATAATGCATTCTTTCAAGTAAACTGTGGATCTATGCTGTGTTCTTTGCACATTCTTTCGTTGATACTATTGTCTAGCAGAGTGTTCTTCATACATGCTTTCGGGTAGCCTTGTGGTTGAAGCGTTCGCTCGTCAAACCGAAGACCCGGGTTCGATTCCCCACATGGGTACAATGTGTGAAGCCAATTTCTGGTGTCCCCCGCCGTGATATTGCTGGAATATTGCTAAAAGCGGCGTAAAACCATACTCACTCACTCATACATTCTCTCTCCGATACTATTGATCTACGTGGCGATCTTTGTTGATTATGTCTACTGCACTGTGGTTCGTCGTAATGTTCTCAGTGCATTCTTTCAATGATTCTGTCGATCTGTGTTATGTTCTCAGTGCATTCTTTCAATGATTCTGTCGATCTGTGTTATGTTCTCAGTGCATTCTTTCAATGATTCTGTCGATCTGTGTTATGTTCTCAGTGCATTCTTTCAATGATTCTGTCGATCTGTGTTATGTTCTTGGTGCTTTCTTTCTCCGGTACCATGTATCTACGGTGTGCTCCGAATGCATTCTTTCTACGATATAATAGATCTATGTCTTGTACTTCATGCATTCCTACTACATAAATATGGATGTACGCAGCATTCTGTGTGCATTCTATCTGCAACACGCTTGTTTTACGCAATGTGCTTCATAATATGGGTCTCAGTGGTGCTTCATAATATGCGTCTCAGTGGTGCACCTTTTATATGGAAGTCCTATGCAATGTTTATGCGTTGTGCTCTGGTAATATCGTCGAAGATATTGATATTGTGATACTTTGGTTGTGCATAGAACTGATTATATTGAGGACGATATCGATATTGTCGACTTTGATAGACACTTGTTCAAATTGCTTTTCTTTCAATAAGAGTTCTGCGTAGTGTTCTAATTGCTTTTCTTTCTATAAGAGTTCTGCGTAGTGTTCTAATTGCTTTTCTTTCTATGATAAGAGTTCTGCAGTGTTCTAATTGCTTTTCTTTCTATAAGAGTTCTGCGTAGTGTTCAAATTGCTTTTCTTTCTATGATAAGAGTTCTGCGTAGTGTTCTAATTACTTTTCTTTCTATGATGAGAGTTCTGCGTAGTGTTCTAATTACTTACTTTCTATGATGAGAGTTATGCGTAGTGTTCTAATTGGTTTTCTTTCTATGATAAGAGTTCTGCATAGTGTTCTAATTACTTTTCTTTCTATGATGAGAGTTCTGCGTAGTGTTCTAATTGGTTTTCTTTCTATGATAAGAGTTCTGCATTGGTGTTCTAATTGCTGTTTTTTTTCTATGATAAGAGTTCTGCATAGTGTTCTTATTGCTTTTCTTTCTATGATAAGAGTTCTGCGTAGTGTTCTAATTGCAGCTCTTTCACGACTTTGTAGTTTTAAGAAGTATTCTAGCCTTATTCTGGTTTTGTTGTGTTGTGACGTACTCTGTCTACCTGTCGGTGTACATAGCGTCCCTGTTTACATTGTTCTGTTAGACGTTCTTCACCCGCAGATAACATGGTTCTACTTGAAACGAAACATTTCATGATAATTTCTATGGTAACCGCTTCGTGGTCGATATTTGTCTATTTGTGTCACAGGGCGGTTGGGTAGCCTAGTGGTTAAAGCATTTGCTCGTCATGCCGAAGATACGGGTTTGATTCCCCACATGGTTACATTGTGGAAATCCCATTTATGGTGTCCCCCGCCGTGATATTGCTGGAATATTGCTAAAAGTGACGTAAAACCATACCCATTCATTCCATATGTGTCACATGTGTCTCGCAGCTATGCCTGGTATTCTTACGGAACATACCCCGCTACTTCCAATACAGAGATGACTTTCTAACCCTGCAAGAGTCATGGTAATACGTTAGCACTAATGCACTGTCCTGTGAGTGTAACGTGCTGCCGTATGCGAAGTACCAACCAATAATTAATATATTGCCACTTTTAGAGTTCGCCTTTCACTAAGAAACCAAAACAAACGAGTGTGAACATTTCACAGGGATCTTCCGTCCTGTGTTTATTTTACATCAATAAATAAGCCATTTGTATAAAATAAAATAATGACATTTGATGAAAGTCCGTTTGACATTGGTTTCTCCGTACACGTACACTCCGCATCAAGGACAAGGTCAGCCCGTGTTGAAAAACACACCATACAGCTTCCATGGGCAAGTCGGGGTAGTTCATGATCCTCTACAACCGTCTTGTCTAATACAGCCCACGCTGAAAGTATCAAACCGACCATTTCATGGTCAAATTCATGCACACGTCCCACTCATTCATAACCCATTTACACCTGTAGCAAAATTGTCAGTTTACACGTGCGCCACAATACACGTGCCTATCACACAACGGTCGGCAGATCGTTTTTTGATGGTTTTCCCCACATAATTACTGATGATGGATGGGAGTGTCTGTGTATTTTTTTATCACCAACTTTTTCATAAATTCTTCCGTCTTTATCGACTTTGATGTTGATGTCTCGACATATGCTCGGTTTGCTTTTGTCGGGGAACAGTGTGCACGAGTTCTCGGACTTGTCGCTGAAATGATCTGTGACGTAAAGTTGAGCTTTGGTCAGACTGCGCTCTCGGCGCACTTGGATTAGACGTCTATGGCGTCTGGAGTCTGTTCTGAGCATGCGCACTGCGAGAAGCACTAGAAGAATAAGAATGAATCCTCCAGCGATGGGCACAGCAATCACGGCGGCCTTGAACCACAAGTCTCGTTCAGGATCTCGTCGAGAATAGTATACGTGATTTCCGGCCGGGTTCGACTTTGTATGTCCTGAAACGAAACAGGAATATATATGAATATATAAAGTATACAAATATCATAAATCGATGTTCATAAATCATATACATGATATTCAAAATCAATTTTCGTTTTGTCAATCTAAAATGGTATCATAAAAACAAGTTTTTCAACAGAAATATTCCTATGAGTTACGAAGACTAAAACTTCCGCGTTGAGGCTGAACACGAGTTTAAATGACGAAGCAGCCTTGTTTTTTCAAAGCAGTGGCTAAGGATTTGTGGGGTACATATGACCACCCCTGTTCAGTGGAGCCACGTGACAGATAGCGGTCACATGACGCCGTGGATGGTGTTAAAAGTCACATCGTCCGGTTACCGATAAAACAGAATTGAGGCAAACGACTTAAGTTTTACAGTGCTAATTTACTTGATCATTTGTGCCACACATTACCCCTTGACTTTAATAGACGTTCGTGTTTATGAGGGGCGGTGGGGTAGCCTAGTAGTTATAGCGTTCGTTCGTCACGTTAATGGCCCGGGTTCGATTCCCTACATGGGTACAATGTGTGAAGCACATTTTTGGTGTACCCGGCCGTAATATTGCTGGAATATTGCTCAAGGCGGGGTAAAACCGTACTCACTTATATACTCATGATTTTATATCATTCTATGTATTTTCCGCAATTTGAACTAACAAGATTGAATCTGGACCTAGGTTTTTGATCATAGCTAGACGCCATCAACTTGGGAAAACCACGATCGTACATCACACTCATATAGTCTATGGAGTACCGAAAGTGTTGGTTTCCGTGGGACATCATAATTGTGACAGACTGTACACTATCAAAGCACCCCAATAGGGCCTCTATATCCAGCCGGCTGTAATGTCACGATCGTTCCATGCCGTCGGCACCTCAAGGCGCGTGTCTGCATAAAACAGCAGGTGACGTCATAAACCTTCCCATAATACCCTGCGCTGCGTCGCGGAAACGTCACCGGCGACATAGGTGACGCTGCTAGCGGGCTCCCTTGGCGACTGGGAGACAACACGTCGGCACAAAGGAGCACTGTTTCATTTGATAATATGTCCAAGTTTAAATAAAGGGCTCATTCTAGACAGAAATACAGTAAAATATATTTATTACCCAATGTTTACCCTTTCCCTTCACGTGATATTTAATACGTATATCATGGACGTAAAACACTTTTTTGCACGAACATTGGCGCCGGGATGAAACTTTCATAAGGTTAAACGTGCAAATTAGAATTAATCGTTTCAACTGAAGTCATAAAATATACAGGAACTCTTTGTGCTTGAAAATAGAATATTTTAATGATGGTGGTTTTTGAGTGTCTTGTCACGTGACTTTAAAAAAAACCCACATCCATGTTTGGTGTATGAACTCTAACTTCATAAATATATGTACCCTGATACTTGAATACTGTGTGTACCCTGATACATGAATACTGCGTCCTGATACATGTACACAGTGTATTCATGCAAGCATTCATCGTCCCAAGACCTAAGCACTCTCATAACACTTCATAAACATTCCTTGGGAAGCCATTGAGAGGATATAGCCAATATTGATATACATATTTTCACGCCGATACCATATGAAAGTTGGTATGTGTCTTGCACGTTAAAATCTCTTTTCGTTGCATCTGTTTTCTTGCTTAAAACCCAAAGGTTCTTTTTCATCGCACGATTGATGAAACTTGGAGGCGACTACATGCGGTCTCTTCACCAACTGTAGTAATGCTCCGCGTGTACTGACAACCTCTAGCGACATTCTAACCGCATTTCGACCTCAAGCTTTGCCTCTGGTGGAGGTTGCAGTTTTTATATGCAATCACTTTTTTATACTTTCGCAGCACAGTTCTAAGTGCAGCTTGCACTTAATGCATAAATTCAGCACGTCAACACTAGTAAACGCTGACACCGGCCTGCTCTCTAAGGTTCTACAATATTTGTCCGCTTTGAACGACGATGTTACAATATTTACCTCGGATTCGTTATACCACGCAACACAACTTTCAGCACTGTTTACCTGTGCGACGCTCTAACCTGGCCGTGCGTTTCTTGGGGGAACCTTGCAGGTGGTGTTATAAAGTTTCAAAACTACATCTTATCTGAGCTAAAGCAGGATTCTCAGCTGGAGTTGTTGGGCATTCCTAGTGGCAGTCTGGCTAATATTGAATCGGTTATAAGTTCAACCTAGACAGGCGAAACTCGACAAGAGTGTAGAAGATACAATAATTTATTTTAATGCAAAGACGTACTGGTATATATCGCACTGGGGTTGATATAGAACCATTGATATGATACCCGTTTATTGTTTTAAATATCTTATTTTACTTTGTTGATAATTTCTTTGTTTATAATTTCCGTACACACCAGTTTCGTAAATCAAAAAAATTAATTTATATTTATATTTGATATGAACTAAAATTGCATGGAATTAGCCAAGAAAGACAGACAACGAGAAATATCTTGTTTAAGTTCAAACCAGTATATATAAATATTTTTTGTATAATAAAATATCCAAAACGTCAATCATGTTTCAAACAGCAAATTATTAAGTACGTGAGTCCTGCGATGTTATCCTACTGTGGCCTCTTCCAACAATCGTCTTATAAAGGGGAAACAATGCTGTATAAATATTGACGAGCTTGGTCGAAGCCTGCTACAATATTTACAATCATACTACTGTCATTGGGGACAACATACAAGCCGACTCACGCTTCCCTCTCCTTCCGTCTGCTCTCGGCAGTTTCCGTCGCGACATCTCGGCGACTGATATCTCTGAAATCAGCACCACTGGCGACAGTGACCATAGTTCTGCCGAAGTCTGAAAGGCTTGTAGCCTCAGTTATGTCATTAGAGGCTTTAATTAGCCGCGGAGCTCATCCTTCGCTTGCAGCAGACTCTGCAGGTGCCATGCTCTCCTGCCATCCATTGTCTCAATGCAGTTTCGATTTTCGCGATGACGGTGAACGCGGAGCAGACGACATATATCTAGCTTCTTACAGCCGGCGATAAAATGGATGGGATCACTGGTATGAATGCTTATATGTCAAGTCTGCTTCTTTCGGGATAATTGTAAGCCGGTGGAGCCTAATACGACCCGTTTAGACCAACATTACTCAAAGTGAACTAAATACGAGCCACAACATGACTGCTGAAGAGGTCTCGAATTACCAGTCAATGACGACCGGATTGTAAATGATAGAGCCAGTGGCGAGTGGGGAAAGACTGGATTGATTAACATGGAATAACAAGGCAGGGTAATAGGTTTATTTCTTTAAATATCGTCCTCCCGTCGCCACACTGCGACAACAAATCTCATTACCAACGATTTCCGCCATTTTAGTTGATGAGTGGACATAATGAGACGCTATCGGTCTGCCCAGTGTTATCAGAGAACAGTTGTTACCACGGAGACTCAACTGTTTTTCCCAAACATATGGCACCAGATAATCTTCCAGCGTCTGTAGATCCATGTACAAAAGCAATCATTATTTCTGCTTTTTGATTCATGTTTAACCAAAGACAATCTTTGAAGCAATCGCCATGGACCCGGACGCGCGCGTGTAGCAGTATAGGTCCAGTGTTGCCAGCTAAATACGTCTCCTATGAATATTCCTACGTCTTCATATGACGTGCGATCAAACGTTAGAGTGTAATTTAGCAAGACCAACTGTGACATAGCGTATGCTCAGTTTTGACCTTAACGCTGTTAAGAGCAGCAACATACGATGAGGATGTAAACAAAGACCACGACGTTCATGCGGCTCTACCTGCTTCTTCGTTGTTTTTTTCGACTGGTTTTTCGTCTCGGATAAACCAACAAAGGGATTTTTACACAAATGTTTGTTACATAGCAATGATAGGCTTGTACCTACCGCAGTCGATGAAACGTCTTAAGACGGTAAGTAAACAGACCCAACCATGACTGAGATGCGGTGCATCGCGTGTTCATAGGCGGGTATTTTCCTACTCCCTAAGGAGAGGGGACCCCTCCGGCTTTTAATCTCTTACTTAGTAGAGAAAACCTTCCTCAATACACAGATTTATGTTTCTAAAACGTTTATATCGCGCGTTACGCTTCTCTCATAGTACAATATTGATGGAGGGTGAAATTGCCGTTGTTGTACTGAAAATATGGCTGATTTATTAAAGATATTAGTTCAGGCAAATCGATTTAATGTTTTATTGTGCTTGCGAACACGGTTTTCAGTATTTGGGTATCTCATGGCAAAGTTTAAATACATCCTCGTATTTGAAAGTAGGAAGTCGCTTCGTGGGTTTTACACGTGCACTGTCGGAGGGAGACGGTGCATCGCGAGGCGGCGGGACTCCGCGGTATTTAGCGATACATTGTAACAGTTGTGGAAGTGAGTTAAGAGATCTCTTTATTACCCTGTGATGCTATCTGACGAGACTCTGCAGCACACTTGGGTTCGCAACCGTCTGCCCAGTTCGGCTTCGGTTCCATTTGGTACATTTGCCAAAGTGAGGTAATATACTTTCCTCAACGAGGACATCTAGCTCGGGGACTGGTAATATATTACAGCCGGATGGCATGGTCTTAGAACTGTATCCCATTGTGCTGCCCCCTACCCCCCACCCACCCCATGTTTTTTGTAACATTATTCCCCTCCCTCCTCTCACTGCATGAACCATTTTCTTCATTTTGAAATCGTTAAATAGAACTGCTAATTCTTCATACCCCCTCCCCTCCGATGTGACAAATTTTGGTGACCCCCCTCTTTCTGCGTGTAATGTTTTCATGACCCCTCCCCCTAAAAAAAACCCCAACAAAACAACAAGAAACAATGTCGTCGGTCCACCCTACCACACCAGTCATAATACATGGAACATGTGCTTGGCCTATCAAAACTGACTTAAACATATTTACGGGCATCGGTCGGGCGTTTTGTTTATTACGTTCGTAACATCAGCCCAGTACATCACGAGCCCTTCTTAATATTTCACGAGTTCATAAATCGCAGCTCAGCTATTTAGGT